CCAGTCACTCCTGCATGAGCCAGCGGGCTCAGGACACAGCCAGCACAGGCAGGGCTGGATCCCCTCTCTCAGGGCCTTTCTGAAGCAGTGCCCCACTGCTCCATCCCTCACTGCCTTCCCCCAGGGCTCAGCATTAATGGCTCACACTTCCACCTCTTCAACAGGCCAGATGCCGGTCTTCTGCCACACAGAGTCATTTACCTCCCTGAACTCCTCATTTTACTGTGTGTACATTGCATCTTGCACTACTCACTGCTCCACTGGAGCCCACAGCTCCACTGCAAAGCCCTCACCCCATCCTGGCCATGGTACAGAGGCAGGCAACAGGGCAGGGTCACCACACTTTGGCCAACTCTCCTGGTAACGTGGGCAGTCTTGGACAAAAGGCTGCTCCAATCAATCTGGGTACTAATTTAACCAGTTTATTGATTAAATACTAACCACAGAATGAGATCCTGGCCTATTTCATGCCATGCTGGTAGCAGTACCGGACTAGCCATTATTTTATTATGACATTAAGTGGCACTGGTGATGCCAGGAGAAATGCAAGCACGCCCAGAAGGATTCACCCCTTTATTGTGTCTGTCAGAGCACTGAAGGAGGAACTGAAATTATTACAGACATCCTTTCAGTTCCTCCCAGATCTAATACAACATAATCTTGTTCATCTTGGATAACCACATCAAGTCATTAGCTTGTCAATAATTCACCTTGCACCAAGTGCCATGACTTGGCACCAAGCAGGCTGTGTTCTTCATGTGGCCAAAACCTGAGCATCTCCTGGCCAGCCCATTTCCCACTGTGCTGGTCCTCACAGACAGACAGGGGTGGGCTGCCCCAGGCATGCAGGGCCAGCTTGCTCCCAAATCCTGCTCCTTTCTACAGAAGAGACACCTGTGCATGGCAAGAGAAAAGAAGAAAAAAAAGGAAGGCATCACTGTAAATGGCCTCATGCTTTTAAAAACTCACCATGGCAGGAGCAGGAATAGCTGAGAAATATTCCAATTAAATGAGCTCAGAGTTACACTAGGAGCTCTACACCAGTAACTGGCCACACACATCAATTTTCACACCAGTCCAACTGCACCCGTGGCCTGCAGAGGATGTGAAATCTTGCTTTACACAAGCTTGTAGAAATTCAGCAATTCTGCCAATTCGCTAAAATTGAGCTCAGCTATGCAAAGCAGCAGAAGTCCCACAAAATCAGATGTACCTGGCAGAGTAGGAGGTGTAGAGGAGCAAGATTTTCAAGTGCTTGGAATGCCTCCCTGTTTTGAGCCTGCAAAACTCAGCTGGACACTTCCCAGAAACAGCCTTGCAGAAGACTTCCACAGCTTTTACCAAATGCCTATATAGGCTTTCATCCTTCCTGGCTCCAAAGAAAACCTGGATCAAAGCTGCACTCAGCAATCCAAAAGGGCTGATTCCAAATTCTCCAGAACCATGGCACCAAGCCCCAGCAAGGCAGCACTGGCTGCCCTGGAGACATGCCAGGGGCATGGAGAGGAAAGCACTTGCATGAATTTACATCATGACAATGCAAAAAATATACAGTTGTCATTGTCACTGAGGGCCCATGAGCTCACTGGGAAGGGAGGGGAGGAAAAAGATACCAGGAAAAAGCCACCTGCTCAGGCACTTTCAACTGAAATCTGCAGCAGCTCTTAATCCTTAGGGTTGGGAAGACACACCACTCTTAGTTTGGGGCTTCTGGATGCCCAGGTGACTTCCTGGACTTACTGATCAGTTCCTTGTATCTCACATCCAGAGGAGCCAAGGAGCATTTGGGAAGCCAAATCCAGCAGTTCAGGGCATGAAGCAACGTGGACTGGGTCACCCTGTTTGGGATGAGCAGCAGACAGGAGCCAGCTGTACTAAGAGAAGCCCCCCTGCTTGCCCAGGAAACAAGCCCTGGTCTACTGCATTTATTATGTATGTGGCCATCAGTGGTCTGCAGGAGACATGTAGGGTTTGAAGGAAAGCTGCAGCAGATGCTCACAAAATTGCTCTCCAAGTGCATCTTTAGCATGGCTAATGTCCCATTCCACCGAGTCATTTCAGGGCCAGGGATTTACACCAAGGTGCAGTGCAGAGAGGGCTGTGTGCCCAGCAAGCCCAGCCCATGCAGGAACCAAAAGCAGACACTCAGCTGAGCACCTCCCCTTCCCTCCTCATCCTGAGCTGTGAGAATCCTGGGAATTCTCCACATTCTCCAGCTTCTGGACAGAAACTCCCTCTGGCCAGGACCATGAGGATGGCCATAGCATCACCAGCATTTGTGGGGATGGCCTGCAACACCAACCCCCTGTTTAAAGTTCCTGACCCACAAGAGGGACCAGCTTTGGGCTTGACCTCCCCTCTTGCTCAGGTGGAGCTGTCCTGCCCACACCAAGGCTCTGCTCTGCAGGGGGGCCTGCCTGGGGCAGGCATGCCAGCAATGTCAGCTATGCACTGTCCTCCCCCGTGCCAAGGGTCAGCTCTCCATCCAAACAGGAAGCAGCCCGAGTGAGTGTGGGGGAGAAAAAGGGAGGCAGTGCTACAGGGGCTGATGCTGCTGCTGTCCCAGCCCCTCCTGCTCCCAGCCCAGCACAGGCAGTCACAGGGGGCTTCCAGGGCATTCTCCCCACTGGGATCCCCACTCTCGGGCAGGCAGCACCCCCACTTCTTTGCAGGGTCATTTTTTAAATCACTTGGTAAACAGAGGCAAAGCCCAGAGAGCAGCTATGGCAAAGGTAGCACTGAGAAAGGGGAGTTGAGGCAGCAGAGGGGATGGTGAGGGTCCCCCACCTTCAGCACTTGGAACAAACTGAGACAGAGCACCTTGCCCCTAAACCAGGGATTGCATTAAAAATGATACAAACCTCAGGGTCAGCAGCTCCTTCACACCCTACACACAAAACTGCTGCTGCTTGCACTTGATGATCCCTCACTGTTGCTTTCTGTGCCCAAATAAACTGTTTTCTTTTCTGGTTTCCCCATGCCAGTATTCTGGGATTATTTTATGCCCTAAAGCAGAAGGGTGGCTGTGCTCTGTAAGGAAGACATGCATCACTTCAGCTCCAGCCAAGCTGAAAGGAGTCCCCAGCACCCAGCCCAGCCAGAAATGTCCTCAGCAATGCTGTGGTCCCTCCTGCTGCCAGGCACATCCAGGGCAAAGTACAGCACACCAGGGGAGGGCTTTGCTTGTAGACAGCCATCCATCCAACCATCCTGGCATCCCCCTCACAAATAGCACCCCCTGACAAATACACAGACATTCAAAGTCTCTCTGGCAGATCTGATCTCCATGGCCTTTCATGACTTGCATCTCTCCTGTCTTACACTAAGTGAAGAAAGCCTGAGCACATGCTTCAAACACATCATTCACCATGAGAAACCATTATTTTACCCTATTCTGCGTCCTTTCACTGCCCCTCAGAGCTGTATGAATTTTCTAGACTGTGCTTGAGTTTATTCATACTGGTCAACAAGGACGTTCCGGTGTTCTTATTTTTCCCCCCCTTCGAGGGTTTACTTAAACCCTCAAAGTTGTGCCAGGTGAGGTGGAGTTCTGTGATTTTGGGGCTGGAAGTGCATTTGTTCAAAAGTCTCATCTTGGAAGGCAATGAAGGAAACTGCTGTTTATGAGAGCTCTTGATGACATAACAGTTGTTCTGTCCCAAACTGTCTGGACACAAGGTGAGCAAACCTAATGCCATAAAGGCCTTCCCATGTCATGCCCCAGTCACAACATTAACCCCCACAGAGAGGACAGGAGAACAAGTAGGAAAGCTGTTGAGGAAAACCCACAAACTATTTACACCCTGAAAGTTTGAAACAGAAGAGCCTCAAAATGTCTGTCCTTTGAACATGATACTCCTTATCTTGGGATATGATCCTCCTCTCCTCCTCTGGTGAAAGAGAAAATGAGATTATAGCAAGAGTCTGCATGAGGGGCTGAGAGGAGCAGAGCTCTGGTGCAGCTGCTCAGCGACAGGAGCAGTTTTGGTGCTTATGGGATCCCATGAGACCAGCAGAAAGACAGCTCATCCTTTACCCAATGTCCCTGCAAGTGCCTTCAGGCCCTTCCAGTTCAGGGTGTTATTCCCAGGAGAGAGCCATCTCTGGAGGACAGGGCAAGGTCTGGCCCAAGGACAGAGCAAATCACCTGTGCCTGCAGCCAGCACACCCAGGGCCAGCTCGGCCCCAGGGGCTGTCCCCTGCTGAAGAGCAGTCAAGCTCCTGCTTTTTTCAGCCTGGGGGCAGCGAGTTCTGGGGTGCATGGTTTGCTCCCCCCCCTCCCTGTGAACACCTTGCACTTGTGCTGGCCAGAGGCTGGGGAGCAGAAGAAAAGCTTCTCTCTTGGTTATGGGCCAAGCATTATACAGCAAGGGTGTCCCATATCCTGGCTGCAAGTGCTTTGGGAAGCCAGATGATTTCATTACCAGATCATACCCCCTGACCTACTCACCCTGAAACAAGCTCACTGCTGGCCAGCCCCAGAGCTTGCTACTCTGCACCTCACCTTGCACACTGCCATTTAGCACTAACCTGCTGCCATATCCAGGCAGCATGTGAATTTTCATGCTGCTGAAACTCTTACACAAGCAGTAAAACCCTAAGAAACCTCTTGCACAAGTAGCTTATTGTTACTTTGTTATTGGGACTGACAAATGAGGAAATGCTCCCAGCCACGGGTACCCTGCAGTTCCCACGGGGTGCCACATCCCACATGCACCTTCCAGCCCACCCCTGCCTCACAGCACAGGATGCAGCACTGTGAGCACACACACAGCCCCAGCACAGGGGGTGTCTGGGGACAGCCATGCTGCAAACAGCACTCTGTGCCACACTCAGCCTGCCAGCACCAGGCCCAGCTGACATGGAGAGGAGGACAGAGAAACACAGAGTTATCAATACACTGGGGGACAGGATTGATGGGAGACAAAGCTGCAGGTGCAGATGGAGGAGAAGGCCAGGCCTGGGATGGGAAGGGTAAGGAGCAGCCTGGGCACACTCACCCTGATGCGCCGCATGGCTGTCACGATCTCCACGCGGCTGTTTGGCCGCGGCACATCCAGGCTCCCGATGTACTGCAAGGAAAGAAAGGAGATTAGTCCAGTTCCAACAGCCCTGGAAACCCCATGGGCCCACCAGGGCCCCAGTGGTATCCACAGAGGGAACCCAGGGTCACTTCTGGGGAATGAGCAGCATTGTGCCTGCTGAACCTGAATGCCTGCATGCCTCCAGCCATGAAGCTGTTCCCTCACCACACCACTGCAAGCAGTCAAAAACCCTTTTTCTAGCAATAAAATCATTTCAGCCGTTGGGCCAGCAGGACTCACTCATCTAGGCCATGATCAAAGCACACAGGTATAAGCAAGTATCCCCTCGGTTGCCGTGAGTCATCTATTACAGACCTGGATATTGGAATATCCCTAAAATAGCCAGCCCGACCTGTCCTGTGACAGGCCCTCCATTATTTAATTGCAGCCCTGCCAAAGCCGTGGCTGTTTCTGCAGGAATGCTGAGCCTCCAGGCCAAGCCTCCAGAATAAAGGAGCCGCTTTGCTATTCAAAGAGGACCAAAGGCAGCGCCACTGCGACCCAGCACGGAGAGACGCGGAACAAAAACCTTTTTAAAAATAAAATGGAAGAGGGCAGATTCTGAAGAAGGATCAGAAAACAGACAAGCGATGAAGAGTCAATGCTGAGCGCTAAAAACGTGTAGTTAGAAGAAAAGCGTTTTGAGCCCATTTACTGGCCCTCTGTGCTCCCACGCTTCATCTCCACACAAGGGCTGACGTAACCTCGGCAGCGCAGCACGGGCACCAAACCCAGCAGGGCTCCTGCTCCTGGGAGCACGGCCACAACCTCTGCTGGCACCATGGAAGCCCAGGTGGCAGGTTCCCAGCAGCAGCACTGACATGGCTGCCCAAGGGCCTGGACAAGTGCTCAGGCAGAGGCTGCTCAGAGGGGTTATTTCTCTCCCAGCATCACTGCACTGGGACTGCCACCTCCAAGGAGGGATGGCATGGTGCAGGGGATGCATGACCAAAGCTGGGCTTTGTGTGTGAGCTGCCCCGGAAGCTCAGGGAGCCCTGTGTTTCTGAGAGCCCTCCTTGCTAAGACCCAACGTGGCAGCTCAGCCAGGCCATCCCCAGCACGCAGCTCCTGCCTGGGGGTCACAGAGGCAGTGCCCAGTGACCAGCACAGGGCAGTCAGTGCTCAGAGGAGATGTGCAGAGAGAGGATATAAAAATAACCCCAAACAGCTGGCGTGTCCATCACGTGCCGTGCAGGCTGCACAGTGCAGGGCAGCCTTACATAACTGGGAATTGCAGCCCAGGCCACTCAGCCCCTCAGGGCCCTGCTGAGAGCACACAGCTCCCAGCAGTTCCCTGTCACAGCCCCTGCACGGAGTCTGCCACCCCTTCAAAGGGGCAGCTCATCTGAGAGAGGCATCTCAGACATCAGTACATCCCCTTCTCTGAGGTGAGGCCTGGAAACCATCAGGAAAAAGCAGGAGCTGAGGAGGAGGGCAGAGGCAGCTGGAGCCCTGAACCTGCAGTCACCAGGCAGGACCTAAGGAAGAAGCCCTGCCCCATCCTGCTCTGCCAGGCAAACATCCCTATAGCACTTCCTCACTAAGCCTTCCCACATCACTTTTCTGCCAGGGACCACCTGGGGAAGCAGGATTCTCATCCTATATGAGAAGGGCAGACTTTTGCACCCAGAGGAAGCCTGTCTTCCTCCAGCTATTCCCAGCTGCATGAGGTCACTGCCTGGAAATCCCTCTCCCTGCCTTGCCCAGGCAGGTGCAGAACACAGCCATGGCTGTGCCTGGCCAAGGCCAGGGCAGGCAGTGCCAGCTGGGCAGGAGAGCTGGCTCCCATGGCCACAGGAATTCCAGCCATGCCAAGCTACCTGGCTGCTCACCACAACCCCGTGGCCACAACTGAGTGAGTGTGTGAGCCCAGCAGGGCTGGGGTGCCCTGCAAGCACAACCAGACACCACCCTGGGCCAGGCACCACCTCCTCAGATTGGCCTCCTGAGAAACAGCATCAGCAGTAGGGTTGTCTTGATGCTGTCCTTTCTGTGCTCCAGCTCATGTCCACATGCAGCCAAACCAAGGGCATGGGTCACAAAGGCTGTAGGATTCACCTTTGCTCCCCAGCCTGGTGTCCAGAGCTGTATCCTGCTGTATCCCACAGCCCATGGTGCTCCCACCAGAGCCCATGGCACATCCACCCCAGTGTGGGCTCACTGCTCACAATCACCATGCTCACAGCTCCAAAAACACCCCCCTCTCCTTGCACTCTGCAGGCAGGTATTTTTTACACATTTCACACAACTCAGCAGATGGACAAAGTCTCTCCAGATTATTTTTGCCTTCAGGGCAGAAATCACATGTGACAAGTGTGCTGCAGAAGAGTAACCCTTCACAATGTGGTGAATATCCCCCCAAAATGTGGACCGGGGGGCTGGTCTTTCAGCTAAACAACTTCCCAGGTGAGTTGGGGAATGGTCTGAGAAACCATCTATATTCAGCAGGGATTTGCAGGCAATGAGGGCTGCTCCTGCTCCACTCTCCTCCAGCCCTCCTACTCACAGCACCAATTTTAATTATGGGAATAGGTGTGGGAACAAGCAGGTGAGGCAAAGACAAAGATAAGCAAAGCAGCCAGAGCCTCCACAGTGCAATACTTCCCACTCACCCCACCCCTGAGACTGAGCTCCCTCTCTGCCAGGGCAGGAGCTCAGAGACCCCCAAGCATGGGCACTGCCAGGCACAGATTTCTGCCCTCCTTTAACACACATGGGCCCCCAGCGAGGTGCCAGGCACACAGAGGTGGTCCCAGCCCTGCAGGGCCATTGTCAGGCCAGCATCCATGCCAGCCAGCTGACCCCACGGCAAAGGGAGGCAGGAAGGACAAAGGAAGGTGCCCGAGACAAAAGGGAAGAAAATAAAGCTGTGCAAAAGAGCTGACAAAGAAAATAAACCCGTGAAAGAACTCGCCCTCCCCAAGCCCCGCGAGCCAAGGGGGAGAACATGTGTATGTAAAGGATGTGGCTTTTCCAAATAATCCCCTCCAGATCCACGGCCCCACCACCCTGCCAAGGGATGGAGGGACGGAGCTGGAGTCCCCCACCCACACCCAAGAGCTAAGTGGGACCAGGGGGTCACAAATCCCCACAGGCTGTCCTGGGCAGCCTCCTCCTCCCCAGCCCAATTAGGGGAAGAAAGGCCACCTTCTGGGTGAATGGGCAGCCAGGGGGGTCCCTGGTGCCACCCTGGCAGCCCCACAAAGGCAGGGCCAGCCCTCACACTGCCAAGGCCAGCGCTGCTCGAGGCTGTGATGCCAGCATGAAGCACCTCTTTTGTAGGGTGCTTCTGGTCCTTCTCACATGCCCCGCTGCTCCTCATGCCCGTGTTGGGATCCAGCCTTCCATCCATCCTTCCAGAGCCCCAGAAGGGCATCCTCCCCCTGCTGTGGGAGGTGGCAGCACCCACCAGGCTTCCCAGCAGCCACAGGGACTCTGCTTGCTGTCCCCTCCCCATGCAAACAGGCTCTCAGTGGGCAGGGACCCCTGCACATAGCCTGCACCCTCTGCCCACAGCTTACAAAAGATCTGCCCAGTTCTGGGAAATGCCAGGGAAAAAATAAATTTGGTTTTTAAACAGAAAACAAAGGGGAGCACTTTGCCAAAGCACTGTTTGCACAAGTCACTCAGTTTCTCGTTTTTCCTCGAGGCTGTTGAATACTGCTCGTTTTCTGCTCTGTCAGAAACGAATTTTCTTGAGAAGTTGCTTTTTCTGTGGCAGCAGGTGGCAGATATTTTCGGAAAACCGAAGGCCAATCGCATCACTGCCGGGGGACACCTTGGAAGTGGTGTTGATGAGATCGGTGGTAGGCAGAGGTGGGCAGCCAAAGCCTTCCTGGGGAGGAGATGCCTCCTTCCTGCTGCTCCCAGCCCAGCACTGCGTGCAAAGGTCAGGGCTGAATCATCCCCAGCTCACAGGGGAGCCTGGCCTGGCTGCCTGCCGGCTTCCAGCTCCCAGAGCCACCCTGAGCCACAGACCCCACAGATGAGGAGCCACTGCTTCGTTACAGGAGCTGCAGGCAGGCAGTGGGAGGGGACACACTGGCACCAGCCCCAGGCCACCCTCAGGGCCAGGAGGGGTTACCAGAGGTATCAGCAGCCAGATGGGAGTGCCAGATGCGGGGCACAAGGGTCCCCAGATTTCTACAGAGTCCAGGGTGGTGTGAGGCTGTGCCAGGTACTGGGACATTGACCCTGCTACATGTGCCACAAAGTGAGGGACAAAGTGCTCAGGCACCAGTCTGAAACCTCCTTATTTCTCCAGCACTGGGAAACACCCAGTCTGCCTGCAGTCTGTCTGATAAGGGCTTCTCCCCAGGCTGTGCTGTCAGGGAAAGCAGGGAGAAGCCCATTCCCAGGACTTTGGCTGTCCCACTGCTCCTGCTCTCCAGTTGCCCAGGCAGCCAAGGCTCTGGGCTGGCAGGCTCTGTCCTGCCCCTCAGGAACACCCTGCCTTGCTGGGTGCAGAGGGGGAAGTTTACTCACACTGTGGTGGTGCAGGCTCAGAGGCCAAAAGGGATGGAAAATTCACAATGCCAGCTGACTTTAATGGAAAAAGGCCCTGGCCTCTATTCCAGCTTATGGGTGCTCTGCCAAGCTGGGCACCTCAGCCTTGCCCAGTTCCTCCCTGAGCAGAGCTCTGCACCCCAAGGCCAACACATCCAGCCTTGGCAGCCTGAGGCCATGTGTCAGAGCCATCCAGAGCCACACAGCTGGACACTGGGCATGGACACAGCAGGGACCTCACAGCAGGCAGGCAGAGCCCTTAAGGACAGTCAGTTTTGGGTGGTCTCACTCAATTCTGGGTTTCAGTCAGTTTAGGGTTTCACTTGGTTTTGGGTCAGTTTCACTCAATTTGGGGTGATTTCACTCAATTGTGGGTCATTTTCACTCCATTTGGGGTTGTTTTTATTCAGTTTTGGATGGTTTCAGGTGGATTTCACTCGGTTTTGTGCCCATGAGCCTGCTGGTCCCAGCAGCACTTGCCCTGCTTAGGAGCTGCCCTGGGCTCAAGTGCCAGAGACTCCGAGCTCTGGGGGCCCCAGGACACTCACCACACCCACTCTCCCCTCTCAGCAGCCAAAACAGGGCTCACCTGAACAGGGGAGACACCTGTGCTGCAGGTGATGGTGCAGCAGGGCCCAGACCCAGCAGGTGCTGAGGGATGACGTTTTTCCAGGCAGTGCAGCAGGACTGTCCATTTGCTGGGTTTCCACCCCCCCAGGCAGGCTGCCCCCACACTGAGCCTGAGCTTCCTGCTCCTCCACCCTGCCACAGCAGGGCTGTGCAAGCCCAGAGCACTGCAGAAAGCTGGGCTGGCAGCATCCCACCCCTGCTGCTCCCATGGGACCTCTGGGCATCTGCAGAGCCCATGTGCCCAGCCCCACAGCCTGGGCACACATGGCTTTGCCAGAGCCAGACAGAGTTTTCTTTGCTAAGAGCTCCACTAAGCAGCCCAGGAACCGACTCCACAAGTATGGCAGAAATATGCCACTGTTTCAGACGAGAACCTTTGCAGAATTGGGAAGGTTATTTATAGCCTGGGGCGAGCAATCCTGGGCTCAGGCTCACTGCAGCTTTGCTCTGGGCTGAGCAGCCCTGACAGAGCACACCAGAGCTGCCAGTACAAACAGCCCCCAGAGAGAGCTGCCAGCTCTCTCCCAGCCAGCCAGACTGGTGCAGAGCATCACACAACCTGTCTCCTAGTTCCCAGCCCTCCAGGAAAGGGACCTTTGCTGGGAAGGGAGCCTGAAGCAGTGGAGGGGAAGTGGACACCTCGGTCAAGGCTGCCTGCAATTCAGTTCACTTCCAATGCTGTTATTTGCAGCCCCAAGGTACATAAAAATATACACACGAGTGAAAACACACATGTACTCCCTGCTTAGTGCTCACCTGAGGCTATAATCGTTTCCCTGATACAGGATTTTGCTTTGGAGCAACTGGCAGTGCCTGCCGGTGCTCTCAGCCCCTGGAAGGTGGCAGGCAGGTGGGCTGGAGAGGTTCAGAGGAAGAGACATCATGGATCAGACTTAAGTCTCCTCCATGTCCCATCTCCAAACATAGACAGCAGCAGATGCTCAGTTCAACTTCAGTTTCCCACGCACGGAAGCAGAGAAAAGCACTGACAAAAATGAGAGAAAGTGCCTGGTTGCCAAGACCACTTAAGGGAATAAAATCCACCCCACCAGCCAAACACAAAAACCCCACCTGCTGCACAGAACAGCAACCCTCCCAAACCTCCAGTCCCACCTTTACCTGCAAGCAGGTCTGGTATCAGGAACAGCAGGTTTCAGCATGTGGGATGCCCAGGCAGTCCCAGACCACAGGCACTGGGTCCACCAAGGACTGAGATGTGTTTGGGCAGCCACTTCTCCCTGTGCCTGCACATGGGGAGCAGCAGAGAGGATCCTCACAGCCACCTGCCCCTTCTTTGGAAACTGTGCACATCAAGGCACTGCAAAGGGATTCATGGGACCGAGGGAGTAACAGCTGTTTCCAAATAATGGGCATTTGGTAGGTGGGACCTGGCTCTGGACCACAAGACCCCTGGAGCAGGAGGGAAACCCCAGCCCAGCAGCAGCTCCCAGGAGAGGGACAGTAACAACTTCCCTGAGCAAACCCAGCAGCACCCAGCACTCCAACAGACCAGGGTCTGGAGTCCAGGGCCAGGCTCCACTGCCCCACTCCATTCCCCTTCTGAGTCACACTTTCTGAACACACAGAATTTCTGGCATTGCACAAGGTGGCCCTTGGGTTTTGTCCTGCACCACCAGGGCTTTGGGAAGATCAGGGGTAACCTCACATCCCTCTCCTTCTCATGGAAGAGTACAGGAGGTATCTTTCCTCTCTACATCCCTGTTTATTTAACCAGAAAACCACTGCACAAGTGGGAATTTCTGTCCATTCCCCTTGCACCATGCTGCAGCTCCCAGTTCTTTCATCCAAATGTTTCAGCTAACCCAAGAGGCCAGGCTTTTGATTTTAATCAACAATTCAGACTGCAAGACACAGAAGAAAACAAACATCCTGCCTCCCATTGGAGCCAGCTCCTCTGATTCCCTGCAGCCTGACCAAGGCATCTCAGGGATACAGCCAGGTTTGGTGCCAAGAGAAGTGGCCAATGAAAACAGATCCAAAAGTGTGAAATGCATTACTGTTCCTAAAAAGATGGAGTGGGATTTTCCATCTCTTGGATTTATCTCCAGAAAATGGATTAACATAATCCTTAGGGACACTTTGCTCTGACTCGGTGACCCTGTGCCAGCACATATGGCTGCAAGTGGCTCCAGTGGGGACGAGAGGCACAAGCCTCCCGATGGCATCGCAGCTCAAGTGACAGCACCGCTCACCTCATATCACGTCCATCACCCTCTGCTTGACAAAGGTTCAAATTCTGACTGCCTGTGGCCACCCAGTCACCCAGGATGGCAAGACTCCCTCAGGAGAGGGACAAAGGGGACAACAGCACTGATGCCAGCTGCTACTGATGGACCAAAACATGCACTGCACCCACCACATGTGCCACTAAGAGACAGCAGCAGGTCCGAGTGTAAAAATACAATTAAAAATTAAAGCAATAAATCAGTGCACACTGCCTCAGGCCCACACTACCCCCCTGCAGGGAGCCCCAAGCAAGCTCATAAGGAATCTCAGGCTGCTGGAGCAAAGAGCACTGCTCCAGTGCTGAGCTGGAACACCGGGATCCCCGCTGCCCGCACTATCAGCTACCCCAGGAGGATTTGAGGAGACAGCCACTCAAGTCCTAGACAAGCATTTTTCTGGTTTAATCTTCCCCCAAAGTTCTGCTCTAAATCAGGGTTCCACATTTTTGTGACTCGTGCTGGGTGCCTGGCTGCAACAAGAGCTGTGGCGGGTGTAAGAGCTTGGGATTCTTGGGGATAAAAGGAAGTAAAGGAATGTAAGCATTTAATTAATCTTGAGCAATCTAATAAAAGGATAGAGTAATTGCCTCAGCCATCTGCATTCCGGATCTGGCATCAAGGGCTGCTGGTGAAACCCAGGAATTGGGAAGCCGGGTTTGGTACGGATTGTGTTTGGCAATAGCGCATGCCACCGGATACCAAATAAGAGAAAGGAGCTAACAAAGGCTAATATGCAGCACTGCACTAATGCAGCCAGAGCAGCAGCGTGGAGCAGAGATGAGCCATGAGCACACCCAGGGGCTGCTGACGCCCTGTCCCACTGCCCAGCCTCCCAGCCGGGTCACCCGAAGCTGGCACGGAAGAGGCACACAGGATTTAGAAGGGGAGATGCTTTGCAGCCTCCCCGCAGGTGAGGGGTGAGCAGGTGCTGCCAGTAAAACAGCAATCGGCTCCAATCACTCAGGAGCAAAAGGCTGCGAAGTTCAGCTTGAACAGCCTTTCCCAGGAAATAGTTGCAAGGAAGGTTTAAGTTTGCTCCATAAACAACTGTTTTGCTCTCTGCAGCACAGTGCCTGCCATCGGGCAGGTGATGGCCGCTGCAGAGGAACCCTCCCGCCCAAGAAAAGGCGGAAAATAACACTTTGACACTTTCCTATGAGCGCAGCCTTTGCCCCGAGGGCATCGCACACAATTAGATGCCAAATTTTCTTCCCCTGACAGCACATGTTCTCCGAAGACAACAGTGTGTGACAGACGCCTGCCTTCCTGCCGCTCATTTTACACCAGGCTTTCCTCCTAAGTCAACCTCACTTGAGTACCTCCGTCAGCATGATAACCGTATTCCCCAAGAGAAGAAAAAACGGGGCAGAATTTAACGTTTCCCCTTTCCAAATCTCCTGGCCAGCTCCTTCCCAGTTTCCTGCTGGCCAGCGTGCCTTGCTCGGTAGCTTGGCTTTTGCCAGCCCGCTGCGAGATGGCAAGTGCCAGCCTGCGGGGAGCCACAGCCGACGTGGAGCGAGAGAATGAAAAGTCCCAACGGAAAAGAAAAGATAAAAAGCCAAGAGCGCTCCGTGCCAAATCCACCAGCAAGGACGGTTTATGTGTGTAAAGAGGAATAGCAAGCGTTTATTTCGGGTGCGTGTCCCTGACCGCCTGCACCGCCAATGGCACACAGTCCATCCGGCTGCTCACAGCAGAGGAGCACCAGGGTCCAGGGCACCGTGCAGACCCCACCAGCCGTGCCCATCCCAGCGGCGCTGCCCGCAGCGCTGGAGCCGCAGAGCACAGCCCGAGCCCTCCGCTCCTCCCTGCCGGGGAAGAGGCACACGGACCCCGCTTTGGGGGCCAGCGTCCCCGAGCAACACCACGCGGAGCCCTGGAGGGATGAGGGTCAGGGAGGGATGCAGGGGTGAAGCAAGAGGGTGACCCCACTCCAGCCTGACCCGTCCCACCAGTCCGGGCATCCCTACCGTACAGGCGGGAAGCCTCGCCCGACTCCGCGGCTGAGTTTAGGGGAGACCAGGCAACGCCAAGGGGAAGGGCTCCGGGGAAAGCAGAAAATCCCCTCGGCTATGCCAAAAGAGAGCTGGAAAACCGGGCATCCCGGAGCGCCGGGGCGCAGCGCCGGGCAGCGACCCCCGCGGCTCCCCCACGCCCGCCACTCACCTTGGCCTCGAAGCAGATGCCGTGCTGGAAGGCGTCCTCGTTGTGCAGGGGGATGCGCAGGTCGTGCCGGTCGTCCACCAGGTTGTACTTGGACTTGGCGGGCATGGCGGCCCCGCGGCCGGGCAGCCCTGCAGCGCGCCCGGCCCTGCCGCCGCCGCCGGCCCGCCCCGCCCGGCCCCGGGGCGGGGACGCGCCCGCGCGGAGCGAGCGGGGCGGGGGCGAGGCTGCGCCCCCCTCCCCGGCCCCGGCCCCGACCCCGACACCGGCCCCGGCACCGGCGGCTCCGTGCCCCTCCCCGGCCGGCACCGCTGACACCTGGTGCGTGGGGCCGGGCTTGCGCCCCGCCGCCAAACTTCAAATGCATGGAAAACCAAAGAAGGGATAATGGGAAACGGTGCCTCGGGAGCGGCTCGGAGGGTGGGCAGCGCCGGCCGCCCCCCGGCGGGAGCGGGCGCCCGTTCCCCCGGGCTGGGGAGCCGCGCCAGGGAACTCCGCACACAAATCTTTGTCTCAACGCCGGACACGGTGGATACCAAGCAGGCTGGAAGTGGAAAATCTCCGTCTTGCGCTTAAAGAAAGAGCAGCTCTTGAGACCAGACCCCCCGCCCTACTGGGCCCTCCCTTACCAATGTCCCGAAAGCTGTGAATATGCTTCCCACCCACCGAAAGCAGCCCAGAGCTGTTTTCCAGATGTTCGGGGAGCAACTCACATAGATCTGACCTCAAGTCCCGGCTGTTGCATCCCTTACCCCAACACGCACAGTGCATTCTGAGGTAGGGCTCCATCCTTCGGTGTTTGGATACCCACGGATGCTGCAAAGATCATCTCCCTGCGTGTGCCTGAAGAGCCAACATGGGCCTCAGAGGCACTCCTCTCCACAAGAGAACCACAATTCCCAAAGTCCTTGCTCTGCCATGCCTGCATGTTCCTACAGCCAGAGCCCACTTCCCTCAGGGTTCCAAATGACTGCAGTGCAAAGAGCAGCACTGATTGTTGATCCTTCCCCGGGGAGAACAGACCCAGGGCCATTGATTTTTCAGCCTGAATCAATGTGGTGAAACTTGAGTTTATAAGACAGTTCAGTGCCAGCCACAGCACTTCAGCCACATCTGAGAAACGTATTGTTCCACTCAAAACTGAGTGGACTCCCCACCACCCCCAGGGGCCCGGTTGACAGTCTGGGCACAAACAATTGTATGACAAGCTGAGAAATCCCCGTGCTCCATCGTGCCATGAGAGGTGTATGTGAGCATCTGTTGTGCTGCCAGTTTCCCCATACTAGGCCCAGGGTGGGATTTCACAGAGCTGCCAGCGCTTGGACGAGTGAATCAAGGGATGATTTCCCACTGAAAGCAAGACACGAGCGAGCCTTGGGCTCTTGAAACCTTTTAGTCCTGGTTTTGGGGGAGGGCAGGGGATCAGTGCCGTGTGTTGCAGTTTTGACTGCGCCTGCAGGAATCCATGGGGAAAAACGGTGCAGAGAACTGAGCACCTGCTTGGACTCACTTCAGCCTGGGACATGCAGAAGCTGGTGGTAGAACATTTTTGAGCCTGGATCTCCTCCATGGTTCTTGCTGAAGGTTTCTGTTTAGCAAAGGTTTGGCTGACAGCATGGAAGTCCCAGGTGCTAGGAATGATACAGACACCACATAAGTCCCCTGAGAGCCTCTCATCCAAAGCTCCAAGCAGGGTAAATTTCAGCTTCGAGACTAGAGCAGCAGCTCAGGGCTGTGTCTAGGCATATTGCAAGTATCCCCAGGGACAGAGATCTCACTGCCTCTCTGGAGCCCTGTTCCTGTGCTAAATTTGATTACAGACACAATTCTTGCAGACTGTAGAATTTCCACAGTCTGCAAAGCCCCGAGGATTTGGGGAAGAACTGAATTCCGTGTGGGAGGGCTTGCAAGCATCTCTCCAGTGAATGGTGCCCTCGGGGAGATGTTCCCCCAGGTGCAGGCATGGGCATTTGATGGGAAGCCTTCAGAGCCTGGGGAACAAACCAGCACCTTCCAGGCAGTCCCAGTGGGTTTGCCTGGCAGCACTGGAGTTCCTGACAGATGCCCTGGGCAGTCCATAGCCTGCTCCTCTGGCTTCTCCTGCAGTGTGGTGGCTGTTCTCACTGCCTGCTGCAGTGCCCGGAGCCAGCTCTTTAAATATCGGGGTTGGACCAAGGGACAAGCCTCCCTCTGCAGTTACTCGTGGGTCTTTTGCACCACAGGCACGGGAAGCAGCAGCATAGGGGACAGCAGCTCTGCTGTGACCAGCTTGTCCCAAAGCCACCTGCCCGATGGCCCGGTGTGACCGGGGGACACTCACTGCCTCAGGCAGTGCTCCAGCCATTCGCACAGGCAGCTTAGGCACTTCGGTGGTTCCACCTTCTCGTTGTGTTACAAAAATCAGCGGGGTCTCTCTTGTTTTTTTCTTTCCCCCCTGCGATCAGTGACCTTACACCTCCCTACCCTTGCAGCTCCCTGCCAAACCACGGCCTCTTGCTGGGAGCGCCTTTCGAGCTGCCGAGCCCAGGCTGAGCTGAGCTCCCCGGCACCACGAGGTACAGGAGATCCGGGAAGGCCGGGAAGGAAATTCCCTCTCACGCCCGTGTTTGGCCTACAAGTCCAGAACCTGTCTCCTCCCATTGAAAATCAATAATTAGGAGCCCTGGAATAACCCGTCGAGGTTGTGTAACCGGTTTGCTCGTTGTCACATCCCCGTCCGTCCCCACCCGGTGGCGGGACCGGGGCTCGCCTGTCTGTGCCCGCCGGTCGGGGGCTGAGGTGTCCCCCGAGCCCGAGGGGACCCCACCAGGGCCGGGGTTCGGGTGGCAGGGGACACGGCTCTGCCCCCCTGAGCCACGGCTGGGGCTCGCCCGGGACCCCTCCGAGCAGCCCCGCGGGCTGGGGACGGCTCGGTGCCGGTGCCGGTGCCGGTGCCGCCGCTCCCGGGATCTGCGGGATGTGGATTTGTAAGGCTGGCCTGCCATCTCCTGGGAAGGCCGAGAAATGCGGCACGGCAAACCCAGACTGGACGGAGGGTCCGCGATCGCCTTCCTCAGGCTCTCCCCAGCTTTCGGGGTGTGCGTGGGTGTAGGCTGCTCCCCCCTTGCTGTGCACCAGAGCCCGGGGAAACAGCCCCGGCTGCCATTCACAGACTGCTTTGGCATCCTGTGAAGTCGAGAGGATATTCTAGTGCAGCTGATGCCATCAGAAGATAAAGCCCAAAAGATAAAGTGTCGCTGTGTGCCCGCTGAGGGGCCGCCTCCAGCCCTGAGCCCCCCAGCAGCATCCAGGGTGTCACGGGGTGCAGCGGGGAGAGATGATCCTCACCCACCTGGGAACATGCCTGTGCCTTGCTCTGCAGTGAGCCACACAGCCCAGCAGCAAAGGACCCAGAAGAGCTGGTCAGGGTGGTTTGAGTTTATCCAAAAGCATCCCAAAGTCTTGGCAGGTCTCGGAGCTAGAAAAGAGATCATATTGTACAAATATGTTATAAATGCAAGCTGGCCTGTGTCAGCCTGCAACACCTAGTCTCACCCTTATAAAAAACCACGATGAAAATACCACATTTTTCCACCACAAAGTCCTATATGTTACTGTAATATCCACAGTCTATAGCAGGAACCTCTTTTATCTAACCTAAAATGCAATGTTTGCAGAGCACTTTGTACCTCCAACACTGTTGGGGCCAGCACAATGAAGCTGCAGCCTGACCCAAAACTTGCCCCACAACTCCTTTGCCACAGCACTGTAGGAGGAGAAGATAGCTGCCCTCAAAGGTGGCAGTGGTGAGCATGTAGCCCAGCCCCAGGACACTGGAACCCCTTCCCTTGCTGCCTGTGTTCCCCAAAGAAGGGCTCAATGAACTCTCATTTATGCAGCACAGCACAGTGGGTTTGGGGAACACACACTGCTTGTGCTCAGGAGGCTCCTCCTCCCAGAGAAATAATAGAAGGGCTTCTGGCCAGGAATGCAAATGGTTTTTGTTGTGCTGGATGCAGGTGGGAATGGGAAACATCACAGGGCATGGCTGCGAGAAGAAGAGAGCAGATGGCAGAGTTTGCAGCTCTGCACAGTAATTGGTAAAGAAAATTGGTCCTTAGGCAGGCAGTCACACAGCAGAGGTGGGATCCAGCTCACAGCTCAGTGCTCCCCATTGCTTTGATGTCCTTCCACAAAATCCTACAGCAGCAAATTGTTTTAGGGTCATGGCCCTACAACTGGAGAGTGCACTAGAGGCACCTGTGAGGCATCAGGGCATCCCCAAGCTCGCTGCCTGTGAGCCCGTGGTGGGCTCGGGCTGGCTGTCACCTTGTCCCTGCAGTCACCTGCACAGCCCCAGGTGGCAGAAGCACCAGGCGAGCACCAGGGCCTGCTTTTTCTGCCCAATAAAACATGGTGATCAACAGCTAAATAGCAGGGTCTGGGAAGGAAGCAAATAACTTCAGAAAGGGGAGGAAGGCAAGCCTGTTGGAATTAAGGTCAGGAACTTGCTGGCATTTGCTGACATTTTATTCTGATGAGCTGGCAGAGCTCATTCTCATCAGGCACACACTTATATATGCATTTATTTATTTTAGAGGTGGGCCTGGAAACAGCTTCAGAGCTGGTTTTGAAAACACAGACACATCTTTGATATCCAGTGGGATTCAGACAGACTGCTTAATCAAACCACCTGAAAACTCACATTTTGTTTTCATAGACATTTTGAATCTTTACACAGTGGTTTCCTTTCCATTTGAAATTATCCCAAGTTTTTGGAAGTTCTCCACAAACCCCATGTCTTGAAACATTTTTGTTTCAGAAAAACAAGCACTTGTTTTTGCTTCTGAAATAAATACACTCCCTGCAGCAGAGCAGGTGCTGGCTAAAATTAACACTGCTCCCTGCCAGCCCCAGCACAGCCTGCAGGGCAGCCGTGAGAGCCTGCAAGGTTTGGGGCACCCAGAGCCCCATTGCCATGGCAGGGAGCTGGTGGCAGTGGGAGCCCACCCCTAGGAACTTCCACAAATGGAGCAGGAGTATTCCCACAGCAGGCTGGGGCAGTGTCCACATCCCCTGGACATCTCACAGCTTTGCAGGAGCCATCCCACACAATATTCCTCTTGCTC